TTATTCTCTTTTCTATATATGTCAGCACTCCATTATTCTCTATTCTATATATATCAGCACTCCATTATTCTCTATTCTATATATATCAGCACTCCATTATTCTCTATTCTATATATGTCAGCACTCCATTATTCTCTATTCTATATATATCAGCACTCCATTATTCTCTATTCTATATATATCAGCACTCCATTATTCTCTATTCTATATATATCAGCACTCCATTATTCTCTTTTCTATATATGTCAGCACTCCATTATCCTCTATTCTTTTTGCCTATTTTTCTTTATTCTGCATATTTTTGCCCTTAAGTTTGTACTTTGTGTCCATTTTTCTCAGTTTTGTAAACCCCCACCCAGTCTCTCAGTTATGAATATGAAAAGACAACGACAGAGTGTATGGAAAAAAAAAACAAAGATATATATTGACAATGATACCACATCTCCAAATGTACTTCAAATATATTTTATATCTTAATTTGACTATCGATATTGATACTATCTGGTTCTAGCAATACACTTCATATACAATTCGTTTTGATGCACGTCAGTGACAACGCTTGCTATCACCCATTGTTGTATGGCGTATCAGGAGAAGAATTATCTGATTATTTCACAGTATTTTTAAAAAATGTTACAGGGAAATCACGTTATTTCATAAGAACCAGACGAGTGTAATGATTTCTGTTCATCGTTGCACGAGTTAAGTTGGGGTACCAGAAGAAGTAATAAAAGTTTCTGATGATACAGATTTTAAACATTAATAGTTAGACTTTGACTTTGAAATTCCCCCCCCCCCCCCCATCTATCTAACTGTCTATGTGTGAGGATGTAGTTTAGTCCTTGCTTCTGGCATTTTGTTTCACCAATTTCTGTGATATTGAACTGCTTTCCACTGTTAAGAAAATGATGGTTATAAATTTCTGTCAAATTTAACAAAATATTTTCATATTGTACTTTGAATAGGTAAACATTATATGTGTTTGGTTAGAAAAATGTAAAAATTTAAAACTTTTATACACGTGTTCCTTGTTTACAAATATGGTTAAGTGCTTTTATAATAAGGTCGATAAAACATTTTATATTATATGTAATTTGGTGTATGATTTGGTCTTTGGTATTCTATGTTGTTTTGTGTACTGTTATTGGTCTGTTTGTCTTTTTCTTTTTTAGCCATGGCGTCAGTTAATAGTTTTCTAAAGTAGCATTTGCATCACCTGATACGTTGCCATATAATATAGGTCATGTAGATGTCTTGATCTGATTCAACCTGAGCAAATCGAGGGAAAAATCTTTATTTCTAAATAATCGTTTCGTTTCATTTGATCGGTTACCAACCAGGGTGATAGTCGAAGGGCTAAATACTCCTAAAACTATTTACACCATATCACATGATGACCGTCTTTTTGTCGGAAGTTGCAAGGAGTATAAGTTAAATGTTATAAACATTACTTATAAATGCAACTCAATATGGTATTGACTTTTTTTTTAGCTAAAAAGGTCGTTATTTTAATGTTTTCATGTTTTTTTATGACTTTAAGCTTTTTCTATGGGAAATTTAAGAGGAATATCGTGAAAGTGGTTGAGTAAAAATATCCGTGAGAAAGAGACCATTAGAATTTTAAAATAAATATATGTAATTAATAAGTCAGATCTTACTACCACTTTCAGACATAAAATAGATAAGACATAAAATAAATGAGACATAATGGAGTTGTGGGGAAGGGGAATTTCTTTTGTGAGTTCACAGTTCTAATTTACACTGGTTCAATGATCGATGTAGAGCAGCGTTTGACATTTTGGTTCATTCATAATCCGCCCATTATAACAAAACATGTAAAATTGTGTTTAAACTTTTATTTATAGTCAGTGTTGTGTAATATAAGTATTATTCCAACAAAATACATGAAAACAATATTGCATTATGCCTAACTAACTATAAATATACTTATTGACATGCTTGAGGTAACGTATTTGATGCTAACTAAACCTGAAATCAATATCGTAACATCTGACACATTTATTTTAAGCATGTTGCAATAAGAAATTGTATATTTTCCCAACTTTCTTATAAATCTTGTTAACCACCTATAATGTTACTGTTCGGAAAGAGAATGAGGATAAGGTCACAATAATATATTTTATTATTACAATGCGTGTCATGGAAATTTAAAATATTTGCAAGAGACAATGCTCGACACAAAAGACAATGCTCGACACAAACGTGTACATTGTTAAGAGGCTGGTGACAATAAAAGAAATTAGTGAATCAATCCGTTTTATAGCCAATATGTCTCCTTGTATATCTCTAAGCAAAGGGTACTAACCTATTGCTTTACTATTTAATGTTAGAGATGGGAATCCAATAAATAATATTAAAAGTTTTATACTGATTTTAAAGTGCCACCGTCATCCTTCACGCATGTCAAATAAATACTAAATGACAACGCTTATGAAATACACTATCAAAATGTGTTTTTTTTTTTTATCTAAATATTTTTAAACCATAAGAACTATTGGTAGTTTATCTTTTATGAGTTTCGAAAGAAAAGTTTCAATAAAGGTTCGCAATATAATTTGAAAATTTTCTATATAAAATAAGGAGATGTGGTTTGATTGTCAATGATACAAATATCCATCAAAGACAAACAGGTATACATATATAGACATGTATGTAAGCAACTATGGGTATCTGTATGACCTTCAACAAGCTATTTAAATTTCACTTTTATATTTATTGACGATGTCCTGTCACTTAATAACCCACATTTCATTGAGTGTTTCCATCTCATACATCTCGGTAAACTATCATAGCTAGTAAGTATGCTTCATATCTATCCAGATTTGTCTTGATATTGACATAGTTGAGCGGCTTCAAACTGTAAATGTATGACGAACGTGACGTCACGACTCCAGCATTCCCAGTCTCCACTTCCCATTTTCTGCAGTAACACACCACCTGTCCAATCGTATAACGTCTACATATCTCAATTGATTACGTTATAAAGCTAAATATTCACATTAGACGCACCTCATTTACAGTGTGTGCTTAAAACACGAACACTGCCCAAACAGAGTTATGAAGAACGACTAAAAAAGATAATACATAAATGTTTACGGCCACCATCATGAATTGGTCGACCCTCTCGATTTGTCCATGTCGACATGTGTATGTGTAAGCGTACTTTCATTCCGCCGTGTATTTATTCCGGTAACTGTTTTTCACTAGAGAATATTGGATGTAAATAGTGTGAAAGCGTCGATCTTGATATCGTTGTTTTGTTTATATTAGACCGGTTTATTGTTTACATAAATAAATGGGTTAAAATTAAAATGATTTTCAAGGAACCAGTTTAATTAATCTGAGTCAATCTAGTAGATCTAAATAATATTGATGATGATGAGGAGGATATTTTTATAATTTAAAATACTTTATCAATGATCAGGACATTGAACTTGATATAAACCAAATTTAAAGAGCAGATTTGTTCTTACATAAAGTTTCAATTATAGAAACATCCTTTGATATTGACATAGAAGATATGATTTTATATCCAAGTCGACCGAAAAGCAAATACACAGAAAAACTTCGGCAATCCAATAAATATAAATATTACAATTAGTGACAATTTGAAAGCATATGATTTTATAGATTTGCATAGAAAAATTATTTAAATCTTATTCGTTAATAAGCATTATTGTGTTATCGTGTGTTCAATATGAGTACTAATCACTTCATCAATGTATGGATCTAAAGCACTAGTGTAATAAATCCCGGTATAAAATAATTAGTGCAATCATTCCGGTACAAAATCACTAGTGTAATCATTCCTGGTATAAAAACACTAGTGTGAACATTCCTTGGATGAAAACTCTCCACTTTTTACATAAATCAACTAAGCAATTTTCAAATACACTTAAAACTATTAAGCCACATTTTATATATATTCCCCCTTCAAAAACCCTTTTTAGAACCTTAAAATGACTGGTGGATGTTTTACACTGGACCCGGATAGAAAAACCTAGTGAATTTTTTGTTGGTGGATAAAAATCACTGGGGATTTTCTTGCTCCGGATAAAGTACACTGGCGGAATCAAACCACTGTTTTGCGGTCTTAGATCTTTAGATACCAGAATAGTCGTTTGATCTATAGTTTAACCGAGTGATACACGCACTAAAGGAGACACTTACCCTGTCGACATGTTCAGTCTTCAAAAAAAAAGTGCTCCGTGTAGATTTTAAGCAATTCTCTTAGAATTTTGTTTTTAAATCCTAAATGAATTTATAAGATTTGAACATCGGTTAAGTACTTTTGTCTTTATTTTATTTAACTACATAAATTGATCTGAACAGTTTTAACTGGTTGTTACTTTGAGACTCTCTTTGTGGAAATAAATAGCATCCAGACGTGCTATATGGGATTTGAGAGGTACTGGAGGTTATTTTAGTAATGGACTTCAATTACATATCATGTGTTATTGGTAGGGTACGAGAGTCTATGTCTATGTCGTAAATATAACTGTGATCCAAGCAACTAGAAATTCTCTTTATAGGATTAACTTTGTTTCAAACCTGGAAAGAAATAAGTCCTCAAGTAGCAATGCCCTTCCGAAAAGTAAATTATCTTGTGTATCGAATTCATCCAGTTTGTTGATCTCCAGCATTCCACCAAATATTTTTTCAATCTTTGTGTTTAAGTTTAAAATATTGTTGAGACTTTTGTTTTTTTACCATTTATGTCTAGATTGAATAAAGAGGAATGTTTTGTCTTACAATGAGTACAAATTGAATCGGAAACCTACATGATGCTACTTTAAACACGCTTTTATGGGACAGTTGCGAAAAGATAGAAATAACGTAATTTAATTAAACAATTGACCCAATACTATTATTTGCTTATGTACTTTTTTCAAATCTTTATTCAAGCATATTTACAATCTATCCATTGTCCATCGTTAAAATATAAATTAAAGGTTTAAAAAAAATCTTTTTATTTACAGAAATTATCGGAAATGATGACATGTATAGATGTCCAGACCATTTGTCAAGATCTATTTATCTTAAAACATTCGGAGAGAAATGTTATCGATACGAGAAGGGCGAATTATATTGGACGACGGCAAGAAGTCGGTGTACTGGAGAAGGAGGCGATCTTATCCAGATCAGGAATCAAGCAACACAAACATGGGTCATGACTACGTTGAATGAGCTACACTGGAACAAAAACGGTGTATGGATAGGAGCTCATGACAGAGGCAATGAAATGAATTGGAGATGGGTTACCGGTAAGTTGTTTTTTTGCAAGATTATATACTATGAAGGCAGTAACTCAATGCGAATTGTATGAACTTCTAACGGAGTCGAGGCTATGTGGGGTAGGCAGGTAGTCTCCTGTCGCCATACAAACAAGAGCGTCTAGATGGAGTTTACTAAATAGAGAATGATGAACAAAATAAAATAAAAGAATGGAGAAGGGTTGCTAAACTATGAAAATAGAAAACAATGGGCCAAAATATAACGAATAGAGAAAAATGCCTTAACCATTTAAGAAGAGAGATGGCCAATGCAGACCATCATACAATAAAGCATGCAAGTGTCATGGTGAAACTGAAACACGATCAAACAAGTCATAAACGTTTAAACCCGCTGCATTTGTATGCACCTGTCCTTAGTCAGGAGCCTATTGTTCAGTGGTTGTCGTTTGTTGGTGTGGTTCATAAAGTGTTTCTCGTTTCTCGTTTTTTATGTAGATTAGACCGTTGGTTTTCCTGTTTGAATTGTTTTACACAAGTCATGTTGGGCCCTTTATAGCTTGCTGTTCGGTGTGAGCCAAGGCTCCGTGTTGAAGGCTGTACTTTGACATATAATTGTTTACCTTTTACACATTGTGACTTGGATGGATAGTTGTCTCATTGGCACTCATACAACATCTTCTTATTCATATATAATGTTGGCTGTGAAATTATAAGTATTTCTTTCTCTCTCATAAGATGATAACCATTTATGTGAGGAAAACCTCCAAATCGAAATTGTTATCAACTTTTCTGAACAAAATGTTGTACGCTCTTTTGGTGTACAGATATTTAACTGCTGAAATGCCAAATGCAATGCAATGTGCATTGTGGATTCATTGATAGTATCACACGGGAAGATACCACAAGTTTTAAAGAATTAAAAAAGATCCACCTAATTTGGCAATATCAAAGACTTAAATAAACTTATTTGGAAAAAAATCAATTAAGAATCCTGATAAAACAACATTTGCAAGCGAAACAAAAACCACTTAGGACGCTCTATTGTTTGCCTTCCTTTGAATGATTGGTCGAAGAAATAAAATAGAATTGATAAAACTAGGTTAACAAAACAAAAGTTAATGTATAATATCCAACATTTTCGTTCTGTGCATTTACATTTACTAAATTTTATCATCGGTACAAGGACATCATTCGTAAATATAACTCAACATGCAGACATCTTATAAGTTCGGGTATTTCACATCCAATCTTTTATGGTAATATTCTTTTCAAAGCACAACAATGTCAGTATTCACCTCAAAAGCTAACAAAACCTTTAAACAGACTTATTAAGAAAGGATATAGTTACGATACTGTTGTCAGGTCATTAAAGATTGCATATTTTGGCTTTAATATTGATTCACTTAAAGGGGCTTTGCATCGGAATTAAACACATTTGTTCTAAAACCAGTTGTTGGCATGACACGGGTTATGTTCTTCTCATATATTTTATGACGGTATAATACTAAACCCCTAACAAGAGGGATTGTGCCTGATATTCATATGATGAAGACATAATCTTTCAATCAGTTTAATTGAGGTCTGGAGCTGGCATGTCAGTAACTGCTAGTAGTCTGTTGTTTTTTATGTATTATTGTCATTTTGTTTATTTTCTTTTGTTTCCTATTCTGACATCGGACTCGGACTTCTCTTATACTGAGTTTTACTGTGCGTACTGTTGTGCGTTTGTTTTTACTACATTGGCTAGAGGTATAGGGGGAGGGTTGAGATCTCAAAAAACATGTTTAACCCCGCCGCATTTTTGCGCCTGTCCCAAGTCAGGAGCCTCTGGCCTTTGTTAGTCTTGTATCATTTTTAATTTTAGTTTCCTGTGTATAATTTGGAGTTTAGTATGACGTCCATTATCACTGAACTAGTATACATATTTGTTTAGGGGCCAGCTGAAGGACGCCTCCGGGTGCGGGAGTTTCTCGCTGCATTGAAGACCCATTGGTGGCCTTCGGCTGTTGTCTGCTCTATGGTCGGGTCGTTGTCTCTTTGACACATTCCCCATTTCCATTCTCAATTTTATGTATGAGATCTTAGTATTGGTATTTAGACAAAAAAACAGGGAAACAACAGTCGAACAATTATTATATTCATAAACACGATGAGTGTATTTCATTCCCAACAATAATGCTTTTGTTCTTTTTCAGGCGAAAGGATAACTTGGAGTTATTGGGGTGGTGGTCAGCCGAACTGTGACTGGTTATGTATGGAAGATTGCGGAAGCTTACGTCGTGATGATGGTGGTAGATGGCATGATAAACCATGTTCCTTCACTGGATTTGTATACTCATTTATTTGTCAGTATGGTAAGTGTTATGTTATTTTCGACATCACACATGTGGAGCTGGATATCCTTAACCTTCCAGAGCACCTGAAATCATGCCCGGTTTTAAGTTGGGTTCGTGTTGCTCAGTCTTTAGTTTTCTGTGTTGTGTTTTGTAGACTGTTGTTTGTCTTTTGGTCGTTTTTATTGTGCTTTTGCCATGGAGTTGTCAGTTTATCTTCGACATTTGAATATCATGTTTGTATGTACCGCCTCTATTTTATCTGGATTGAATAAGTACAAAAGATGTAGTGTAACCAATTGATTCCCCAGAGGACATAAATGAAAAAATATAGAATGTTTCACTCATTTTCCCTACCATCACTCATTTTCCTGCCATCACTTATTTTCCTGCCATCACTTGTTTCCAGTAACTCCGGCTTCTGTACTAGACTCCTACATTTTTAAGGAATTTTTTAATTATACTTGTTTTAATTACAGGGTTCTACTCATTTGGGATGAATGTAAAAGTACGCAGTCATGTTCAACTATTTTTCTTATCATTATCAAACTGCTATTTATTTGGGGTGTTTAAAAACGCAGCCACTGTTTTAATTACTCTACCGTTGTCAAATTTGAAATATTATACAAGCTTAGATCGGTTAGTGCTGTTTATTGGGAATGTATTTACACGCAGTTGTTGTAACATCTTAACTGTCGTCACCTTTGGAATTTTAAAGTTGTGCAAGCTCATATCGCAAATTATTACTATTTTTATTTTAGGTATGTCGTTGCGCCGTGTTTGGAAATTTTAGAATTGTACTAGCGTCTCTATGATGTTCTGGTAAAACTGTTTTTTTGTATAGAATTCAAGATTGGTATAGTTTTATAATCAGAATAGGTTGATAAGATTCATTTTACATCGTGATCATACTGATGAAGGATATCTGTTATCCGAAATATTTATAGTCACATTTGTTCATTTTATTGTTATTTTTTGGTGATGTTGTACCCTTTTAGACTGGTTATATATTATATTTTGTAGTGTACTGTATCATAATTATATGATCCATCGCCCCGTAAGATTTATCGTTGGCTATTATTCAGTCATTTTATATATATATATATATATATACAACCAAGTCTAAATTGAAAACAACGTTCAAACCTATGATTGCGTTAGATAAAAACTGCAATTTTTATACGTGTGCATGCAAAACAAATTTCTTGTTAGAGGGGTCTTAATACAGCACAAACAACATTTTCCAAAAGACCAAAAAGTGAAAAAAAGTATATTTTAACAAAACGCATTTGACTAACAGGTCGAACAACAAATGTTCTTAAAGCCTGCTGACTGCCATTGGCGATTGCCAAATAAACGGATCACCGATGTAATCAATGGAACTTAATTATAAATTAAATACTAATCAGAAAACAATAAACTTGCGGAAAAGATGGTATACCGCAAACAAAAGGTGCAAAGGTTTTTGTACACCATATCCGGATTTCGACAATTAATGTCTCTTCAGTGATGTTAGGAATCAAAACGGTATTTGGAAAGCCTTACAATATATATATATATATTGTATTTTGATGTATGAATGTTATCTGTATACATGTATTTTGTTTGAGGGCCTCAATGAAAATTAGACTAGTTCTAATTAAGTTACCCTCTTTAAATAGAGAATTTATTATTATTATTATTATTATAGATATGAAACCTGCAACAACTACAACCACCACAACTACAACGACAACAACGACGACACCAACCACGACAACTCCAACGACAACAACGCCAACCACGACAACACCAACGACGACAACTCCAACGACGACGACGCCAACCACAACTACGCCAACAACGACCACAACAACACCAACCATGACCACAACAACACCAACCACGACCACAACAACTACATCTCCTACAACGGCATTTATGCCAACGCCAGTAAAAGGGGAGGTTACTGTAAATTTAACAGGTTTGTGAAGTCATGTTTTTATAGAGTGTATGTTGTCGTCTGTCTAAAGACAAAATAATAACTTTAGTTATATTGACCATTTTAATACATTCTAAAACAATGGTCTGGGGGAATATAACACGAATGCTTTATTATTGGTTTTGGAAATTGTGATATCATCCCTATCTAAAAACGGAGCAAAACGGTGTGCGCATAAGTTACAACTTGTCGTTAAAAACAACAATTGATCAAATCAAATTATAATGACTGTTAAAAAAAATTTCATTTAGATTGGAAAATAATAACTATCACTGCTGTTTTACAGCTAGTCCTGATGGACACCCGTTTCTAGAAGTCGGTAATTCAGTTTTCCCATGCTTGATAAAAAAAACCATACATAATACATGTAAATTATAGAATAGCTCTAAACCCGAAGTTACAACTTTCTATGGCAAGGTAGACTAAGGGCTAAGCACTTTTAATGTTTGCCTCGCATGTGGTGTTTAACTGTTTAATGTACACCTTAAGTTCATGCATGATAAGGTCAGTTTCTGAATAATTATGTGAAGTCGTTCATATGATATGCGGTGCAAGGTTCAAATATATCATTATTTTAAAGTATGCAGACGAGGTACGTCAGCTCGTTCGCTCTCGTGTGTTATTGCACGGCATAAAAAACTAAATCAACACAAAATTGAGAAAATTTATTCCAGAAACCTATGTTTGGTGGATTAAAGTGGTTGTCGTTAATATTTCATAAATTCTCGAGGGTTGGATACCACAATGAACTGCCGGTAAACTATCTGGCCTTAGTTTATCACCCGACTGCTTCGGCACCAAGATACATTATGGTATATGATTTTGTTTTATAAATTATATGTAAATACATAAATAATAAGGAAAGAACTCTATCAGACATCATTGATCTGTGATATTTTATCTAATTTTCAAAAGTATAAATGTATGATATGATATACCGTCGTACAACACGTATTTCCGGAGTAACCCTCTCCAGGAACACCAGAGATTAAAAAACCTGAAATCCATTAAAAAATTTAAGAAAGGGCATACACAGAACAAAAAAAAAAAAAACTCGTTGTAGATCAAATACTCCCGAGGGAGTTTCTCAGATACCGACAGGCAATGTGATTCTTAACTGAAATGGTCATTTTCTCTGAAACGGTTTTAAAAGGCTGAATAGTTCATAATCATTATCAATAATCATTCATGTTCATGAAATCTTTTTATAAAGTTTTACACATTTCCATTTTTGTAATTTTCATCTGCTTTGTTACTAAAGAACTAACACTCAGTCAACAATTTATCGCTGAATTACACTCAAGACGATTGAACAATTTGGATTTCTGTAGGCAAAATGTCTAAAGGCTGCTTAATATACTACCCGTAAAATGTTTATGCAAAAATTCTTTACCAGATTTTACAGTATTATTTAAGATAAATGGCCAGGGCAAAATCATCATTTCAAATTAAGTTCATTCACTTATCATACTTGTGAATCTGACATGGGTTCAATTACTTTTGAAAGTAATTAATTACATTCAATTACAATTACAAAATTGTCAATTAAATTACACATTACATTTGAATTTTTTTACCAATGTAATTAATTACTTTTCAATTACTTGGCAAATGTAATTAATTACTTCAGTTACTAATGAAAGGAAAATTTAGATAACATATTGAAAACATGCATTTATTGTATGATATGTACATTAGTATCATACATTGCTTTGTAGTAATAACAAATGAGATCTACAGTGACTACTTTCAAATTCAGTCAGTATCAAAGAAGATTATAAGTTAGATATCTGGTGTGTTACGGGAATAAAGAAAAAAAAATAGTGCACATAATACTTTGTCTATCAGGAATCCTTATGACTAGAGGTCTGGTTTTATTTAATGCTCGAAATGATAAAAAGCCTTATTCAATATTTTTAAAATATCAAATTTTGTTTTAATTTTTTTTTTAATCAAAAAGAGAGTCTGAATTTTAATATTTTGAAATGATTTTTTATTTTGATCACAACTTTTTTTCTAAATAAACGATTATTTAAAAATATACTTAAATATACTTAAGTTTTAATCACAAGTAATTGATTAAAAAAAATCCATGTACCTAGGGGTATATTTATCTCTCTCTAATTGGCTTAACACTTGTTTAACATGCAAACATAACTGTTGTAAAAACGGTCATTATATAGTTTATAATAAAACAAATAGCCAGAGGTTATATTTATTGATTATGTCCTTTAAAGTTGATTATGTTAAATCAATGTCTAACAATATCTATCTGAATATGCATGTAGGTAACAAGCTAATTAAGGTATAAGACAGTGACTTATTATTGGTTCTTTTTAAACACAAATTATGGCATGTTTATACAGTCTTTTTTTTTCTTCTTTTTTAATTTTTTGTTCATTCAATACACAATAAAGAATCTCCCAATGTTGTGTAATTGTAGAAAGTATGCTGTGTAGGCTTTGCTTTGTCAGCTAACTACATTTACTCAGGTCATGGCTTTTCACCATTTTTTGAGAAAAACACAAGATTTAATCTTTCTGATCCAACATTTCAAATGTAATTATGTTGTAATTGAAAAGTAAATGTCAATTACAGACAATTTTGGCTATGTAATTCATTACTTTCAATTACTTGTAATTGAAAAAATGCTCAATTACACATTACTTAAGAAATTGTAATTAATTACGATCAATGACAATTACATATTTCAATTACTCCAGGTCTGTAGTGAATGAGAGCGTAATTGATGTAGGTTTGACATAACACTATGTCATACATTACTGACTTAATCACTGGATCGGTTAGGGCGTTGAACACCTATCAGATCTTGTCTTGAAGCGAGGACTTCAGTAAAGACATGACTTAATACTATATTTTTAACTGTAAATTAACAATTGATAAACTATGTAATTACATTAAACCAAGGTTGCAAACCCAAAAGGCAAAGTTGGCCTTCAAACCTTTTGCGTTTCATTCAGCTTTGATATTCTTGAACATTTTATAAATTTAGATTCCCAAACATTGTTCCCAACTGATCTTATCTTACCCAAAAAGATAATCCAAAAATACACTTAATTTGCTATTCGTTTTCTCTATAGCCTATAAACGCTTGTATTTCCTTGTTTGACAAATGGTCCTTGTAACTACGTCAACAACGAATTACACATAATCAGAGATTTAAGTATATCTACCTTTTAATACAAACTCTACGTGAATGTCTGTTACTTTTGTTTACAGTCAACGAGAACACGAGACAAACGTTCATATAAACTTCAGCTTATTACATATACAAATAAGAAGATGTAGTATGTTTGCCAATGAGACAACTTTCCACTGAAGACCAAAATGACGTAGAAATTAGTAACTATAGTTCAGCGTACTACCTTCGATATTGACCAACAAACGAATATCGCATAGCAAGCTATAAAACGGCCCCTACATAACCAATGTAAAATTCACATTCAAACGAGAAAACTAAGAGCATGTTTATTTTTTCAATTGATGTTCAAGTAAGTCGATATTTAAACTGTATTTCATTTTGCATTGTGCATGGTTCTGTACTTCATAATTATAAGCTATATATCCCTTTTATTTCAGGCATTGGTATGGTAGCTGCACAAGAGAGCAATGTAACATCAGGTGAGCTGTTACATAAACCCTGTACAGAATCGTCTTCTTCATCTCATGTTGTCTCTATAAATATAAATAAGAAGATGTGGTATGAGTGCCAATGAGACAACTCTCCATCCAAATCACAATGTGTAAAAAGTAAACAATTATAGGTCAGAGTACGGCCTTCAACACGGAGCCTTGGATCACACCGAACAGCAAGCTATAAAGGGCCCCAAAATGACTAGTGTAAAACAATTCAAACAGGAAAACCAACGGTCTAATCTATATAAGAAACGAGAAACACTTATGAAACACATCAACAAACGACAACCACTGAACAACAGGCTCCTGACTTAGGACAGATGCATACAAATGCATCGGGTTTAAACGTTTTAACAGACGCCAACCTTCACCCTAACCTGAAACAGTAGTGTAACATTACAATATAAAAAGACACACTATAAGATATCAATTGAAATGGCTTAACTCGATCAAAAAGACATAAAAACAAAAACAGGTAAACATACACTGGATATAAACATTGATATGGTCACAATTATAAAATTAACTGTTTATAAAAATTCGAAATTGTTTCCAAATAGTAGGCATTTTCTACCCCATTTAAGGTGGTACCCTACACCTTGACTAATATTAATTTGGCTCGTTTAATTTTCATAAAATTTTGACAAAATGTTTACTTTGACCCTTCGACAAAAATATAAAAATTTCAAAAAATTTGAACCAACCACTTTATTAGAAAAATTTTGTTGGTTATATAGCAGTTTGACAAACACTAATTTTGATCATTGAGAAGCTTCATATTTCCTTAACAATACAACGTAATTAAAACGTTTAGCTGATTTTTACAGAGTTATCTCCCTGTAGTGTTAGGTACCACCTTAACAAAACTTTTTGGAACTTTGGGTCCTCAATGCTCTTTAACTTCGTACTTTATGTTGCCTTTTTAACTTTTCTTATTCGTGCGTCACTGGAAAGATTGTTTTTAGACAAAACGTGCGTCTGGCATACAAAATTTTAATCCAGGTATCTATGACGAGTTTTTTTTATTAACAATAGTAACAAATACTCAATATAATACTAGTATATAAAAGAGATAATGATTTGTATATGATACAAAAATCAGAACAGGTGTTGGACAACTCTAAAGAATAAATAAAAAAATATTTATGTAACACATGTTTGTTGAAATTATAAATCAATTAAAAATAGTTTTACATATTTGATACTATGATATTAACAAAATTTAGAAATGGACAATACATAATGCAAAAAAAGGGTTCAAACATTTGAAACCTCGAAAAACGAATTGGGCTGCTAGATAAAGACTTCTGTTATTGATCTGATATTTCAGTTCTAGAATAAAAACTGATATCATACTAACATTAACTTTGATCACTTCAGAATATTAAACTAAATAATCAATTTCAATTTTAGCAATTAGTTAAAGTTCAAAGGTTTGGAAATTTAAATGACATATTTATTTTTCAGGAGAATTATCAGGAATTGTTATAGCTTGTGTTTTGGGAGCTTTGGCATTATTGATGCTGCTTAGTGTTTGCTTCTTCAGAACGTGAGTATAGTGGTATTCAAATCTGATTAAATGTGTTTTCATTTATCCTCTGGACAGTTTATTACTTAAATGTACCTTATTTAACTAAATCATGTACAAATGTTTCAAGATTTGTTATGCAGAAGTCATTTATGAATACAGTGGATATTCAATTATAGCTAAAGAAGATTTAATTTTTTCTTATATTTAAAGTGGTGGTCTATATCCACACCCTCTTTTATTACATATTTATACTAAATACACATGTTAATTCAGATAATGCTTTACTGCTGTAAGATATTATGAATTTCTCACTAATAAAACGTTTTACCTTATACGAAGGTATAGACATTACTATGTTGATATAATTGATCAATCCATTTTAATAAAAATAGTCTCTTAGATAAGAGTAACAAAAGCTTTCTCCTTGTTGATCTTCTAACTTACTTTTATGAAATGTACTTCAAAATATTTGAAAAACTTACATTTTGATAATGATGAATCTGCCTTTTTATTTCAGGAGGAAAAAGAAAGGAAAAGAAGATTTGGCAATGCATTTCGATAATTTAACTTACACCGTCAGAAGCATGTTATCTTCACAACCCAGAATGAGTAGACATGAACGAAGCTTAAATAATCAAGTCCCCACCGGAAGTCAAAACGTATATGCAGATCCAATTGCATGTACTACATGTCAAGCTAAACTACCAAATATTTCTGTAATTGCCAAGGAATCCGGTCACTATGCCGAAATAACAGAACAACAGATGGTTGACAAGTTGAATGTCTTTCTACCGAAATATGATAATAATGATTATGAAAAATGTAATATTGCTAAAAGCAAACTCGGAGTTAGTGACTTCCCACAGTACCTAGACGTATGTGCAGATAGTAAAGCCGTGTACGAGAGTGTAAGTGAAAACGAGGCAGCATGCAATGCTATGAATGAGCAGCTGGAAACGTCAAAGACCCAATATGATGAATGTGGGAACGTTGAAGGACCAGAGAACGCTCCCAGTCACTATATTGACTTGGATGATGCAGTACGAAATGAGGAGTCTTTCGACAGTACATCTCTACGCTTAGAACTAGAACCAGGAGTATACGAGGATCTAAACAATGCCAATGGACAACCATCTAGTTTGGATGATATCCTTGTCAACTGTGATGGCGATTTAGATTTGGCAAAAGCTCCAAGTGGATACAATAATAATATCTACGACTCGAAAGCATAGTTCTATATTCTGATTTTCACTGAAAGAAAAGTGAACAATGCTACAAACGAAATTTTGAAGATATGGAATGGTTAATTCAGTAATTTTTTACAAAGATCTTCTGAACATTGTATACTCGGTTAAAAATAATTTGATGCTTGCTGAAAGAAACTAATTGAAAAATAAGCTGTTAACAATTGTGTTAGCCTTTTAAAGACATTTAATCATCTAAACTATGCAAAAATTATCAAATTTTAAACATTATTTGTTTCAGAAAAATAATTTTGCATTAATTTGTTGTCATGATATAGTGCTTATTTGTGTAAAATGTATTGTATATGTATATTGATGCATTTATCTGATCTGGTCACCAAAGAATATTTAATGGTCATGATGTCAAAATATAAAGTATTGTTCATGGACAGCCTTAAATTTATCCAGGTTACAAATTTAATGTCTTTCCTGACATAAAGCCATTTAGTTTTGGGAACAATTGGACTGCAGGTGACCAAAATAATGCTGCAAAGAGAGATATGAGCATCAATAATTGTTTTATATGTAAATGTAAGATTTTTAAAGATTGATTTTGGCTGCTAAGAAACAAAATTGTTTTTAAGAACAAATACCCTGTACAGTCTTCAGATTACATGGGATTAAGATTTTGTTTTCTGTGCAATATCTTTATATACTTTGCATATTGAATAATTTTACAGTGAGATTACTTTTTGTTACCTTTTGTTTTATAAATGCTATAGTTTAAGCGTTTGTCAAAATGCATAATAATTAGATTTGATTTATGTTTTTTAACATATCAATGTATTGTTTACATATATTTTTTTTAGAGTGACAGACGTCCTTATTTAATACTTTTTGAAATAATAAACTACCGGGCCCAATTAAATGAGAAGTGAGACAGTGGTTTCGTAATACATCTTTATACAAGATAATGAAAATTAATCAAATATGCCAGTATTAAAGCAATTCTATGCAATGTAAAACTTTTAATTACTTTTCATTCTGGGTTTCAAAAGTCATGGTCTTAAAGTGGCATTATGTACAACAGTCATTTAAATAGTTAATTTATTACCAAACAACAAAACTCCATTACAATTTGTTTCCCACTGATAATAAGTACTACAAAGAATCTATGAAATCAAAATGTTACCTTCTAGCATTAAAGGCTTATGATTATATATTGTAGCATTTATATGCTCATTTTCCTCATGTTGGATTATTTTACCAGTTTGTCATTTGAAACAGTCTTTAGTAATTGAACAATGTTAAACCGCATTCTTCATAGAAACCAAACTTTAAGCTGGATAAGCTTGGTATATTTGATGAGTCTTTTTACCATTGACATGTATAATTTTGTAAATAAAAAAATAACTTGACACCAAATATGAAATGTATCAAACATATGATAGCTTACATAGTTAAATTTGTTTTCAATTAGATTTATGTGACTTGTTTTAATTTATACTTAATTATGACACGACTCAGTTTAAATAATTTATTTGGTTCTTGTTAAAACCTGTGAAAGTTTTAGTTTTGGAATTTTGTATTTGGATTAATGGTTTTCCAATTTTCAAAGAAAAGAAATGATGTTAAGCTTTGGTGTCTTATAGTTTAACAAAACCAAAATGTTTTGAAGAGCAAAATGTCAATAAAGTCTTTGACAGGAATGTGTATGAAGTGGACCTCAAATTAAAATCTAAACAACCTAACTTTGACTAACAAAGATAGAAGTTCTTGCATTAGCAGTCAGGGGCATGATTTAAACAAGTAACTTTCAAAATTACCTTTACCAGTTATGTTGAATACGAGGCTATTTAAAATAGTACTTATATAAGTGACTTTTGTAAATATTATTTTTATAGGTGTCCATTCATACAGATTTTATTAGTTTTAACAAATTTCACAGACATCTGGTTATTTTTTCTATGAAATATAAAAACTAATCCCCCTGAAACACTAATTGCCATTCTGACGCACTTGAATTTCATATCGAAGCTTCTGTGTCAAAGATTGATCTTTGGGACTCTATTAAAATATCATTTTTCTTGAAAATCTTGAAGGTAGACAGGTATAAAAAGATGGAAACCTGTGATTAAATTGAGACTGGAAGTACCTATTAACTATTTCAAAGCTGTTTAAAATAACTTATAGAAGTAATATTTTTGAAATTATTTTCCAGGTAGCCTTTCATCTGAATATTCCGCTCAAACTGGATTCATTCTTAATCTTGTGTGATGAAATAATGTAAAATTCATAAAAACAATTAGCCAATGCTTCTATTGAAATCTAAAATGACTCTTTTGAGTCTATTGTTCTTATTTTTCTCCAATCTTTAAACTGCATCCAGACCATCTTTTGTATAAAGGGTCACAGGGTTTTATATAGATGCAAATAAGTTGAAACATTCATTATCATAATTACATGACTTGTTATTTCAAGAATACGTTTCACAAAAGTCTTTTCATCAAAATAGCATTTATTCTTTAAAATATTACAGAAACATTGTTATTCGAAATAGTGAATACATTGAAGTTTTATTTGCTCATGAAACAATAAAGATTACTGATAAACTTTTGAATGTTGCATTTAAAAAACACTTAACTCATTCTACTGACTTATTGTTCCAACATAAAGCAAACCTGTCAAAAGCTACTTTAAGTATTTATTTGTGTTTCCTTATCATACCAATATATTTGCATAAAACGTGTTATTTGTGAAAGGACGTGTGACACTGACACGAGTTTGGACTCTCATATCAAACTAGATATTTAATTGATATTTTTGATTTTCTTTGAGATGAAGCTCAATAATCGAATGTAAAAATAAGTCTTTTTAAATCATTCCTGTATGTTGTATAGTATAGTAATACATGAACGGTGCTAATTTAACTGCACTAGATGGGCATTGCAACAATTAATGTCTCTTCAATGATGTTGTATAGAGTTGTAAGTTATTGAATGATATACATTTAAGAGACCGTGCATGGTTTATATGTTAATCTCATGTGAACAGTCACATAATACCTTTATACAATTTTGTAAGAATTCCATTATGTCTATAATTTTGATATGTATATATGCTTATGTCCAATAATAAAAAAAACTGTTACATTTTCATTTATTTCGGAAATTTATGTTTTTTAAATCCACCATTAGTCATACAGTTCAGACAGAGTTCCCATGTGTACTTACCTCTTGGGCGGTGTGTGAGTATAATGCTTTTATGTCAGATCCTTTGGTAGTCTTTTCTATTTCTATTTATTTACACATTTACTAGATTGTGGTCATGAAAGCCCATTTTTGACCTCCCAAAAGTATAATTTAAATTTTAGATCACGTTTAAAAATTGTGATGACGGAGTAAAAAATCGTTATCATGAATTTCATCATTCTCTAATGAGGATTAAAATCGTAATATCAAGTTTACAGAATTAATTATTACAGAATTTTGTAATTCGTGATCACGGTTAAACTTCGTTATCGCAGTTTTGAACAATTCGTGAAAACGGATTAAACTCGTTTTAACGAATTTAGAAAACGTTATCACAAATTTAAAAAAATCTTTAATACAGGTTTAATTGGAAAACCAATTTTCGCGACTTTAATCCATAATCACGAATTACAAAAATCTGTGATAAAAAATTCCTCAGATTTGTTATATCGAATTTAATCCGCGATATCAAATTGTAATTCTTTGTAGCGAATTATATAAAATTCTATATAACTATTTTTATCCGTGATCACGATTTTTAAAATTCGTGATCTCGAATTCAAATTATATTTTTGGGATGTCCAAAATGGGCTTCCGTACTGTAAACGAATTATATCCTGTTATGTTGTATAGACACATCTCTTTTTAGACACACCGTTTTGTGGTAGTGTGTTGATGTCTTATTTCCGTTTACCTCATATTTTATTTCATTCGTATTTTATTTTATAGGAAGTGTAATATATTTGCCAATGAGACAACTATCCATAAAAGTCAAAAGGAGGTCAACAATTACAAGTGACCGTACGGCTTTCAGTAATGAGCAAAAATACTACGGTATAGTAAGCTATAAAATGCCTCTTGGTGACTAAATGTTAAACACTTAATGAGAGAGAAAATTAAACGATCTCAGTTATACTTCAACAAAAAAACGAAAAACAATTATGACACACACTAACATACGACAATTACCAATGGAATAATGGCTTGGAAGAAGCACATACGGAATGTGGTAGGGCTAAGTATGTTGAGAATCTTGCTAAACACATGCATAGTATCTCACCGTAATTTCTGATTGAAAAGGTAATTATTTTATTACCAACATATACTTCAACGACACTTACATAAGAGGAGATCCTAAACAATGAAAGGTATGTCTTATGTTCCTTTTGAATTTAAACAAGCGATTAAGAACTGGATCTTCCTCCACTGAATTGGATACCAAAATAACATGAGTTTCAAACAACGTTATATTACCGAAACATTATAATTATTAAGATAAATGTTATCAGCAACCAAAAACCGGGCTTCAGAGTAATTGTAAAAATTATCTACTTTGGAGTGGCGTAAATAAGTGTGCGAGTTCTAAAAATCTGTTGGAGTACATACCATCCTTTATTCGCACTCTTTTGTATTTTTAGATCTGATGTACTTTTAATGTTTTACCCATATCCCGTCTATGAGTTTTTATGGCTACGTTCATTTCTTTTTATATTTCCTCACAGAATCTTTAACCACGATATATAATAAAATAGAAGGTCTTGATTTGGGCCTTGATTAACTGGAAGTAATGGTTTACTCCTGGTTTGCCTACATTTAATTATACAAAATATCTATTAGATACGAAATAATAACAAAAAAGACAAAAGGTTTCAACAGTTTAACTGTGATCTTATAAATTCAGATATTATTCAATTTGCAGTTTCCATTTTTATTTGTATAAATTAATAACAAATAAATCAAATTTTTGTTTTGTAAATAAATGTAAAAAATATGTTCTACTTTGTTAAATGA